TTTTTTTTTTTTTTTTTTTTAACTTCATATATTTAAAAAAAAAATCAAAACCATAAAAAACTTAGGTAGCATGGGTTATCTGGCCGGATAATGTGGCCGGAAAATCTAGTCGGATTATCTCATCCGGAAATCCGGATGATGAAAAAAAATGCCTAAAAAAAAAAAAAAAAAAAAAGTGATATTGCATATGCAAAATTAAATAGAAATACGTTCCTATTTCATGAAAAGCTTGATAGGGCCTGGAAGGGTTCAAAGGGGCTAAGATAGGGAATAAAGGGTTTTAGAGGGGGGATGCGTAATTCATTCTATAATTTTTTATCTAAATGTTATTTTCTTGTTCTGTTTGATTTTTTATCTCCATATCTGTCTAGTAATCAAAGATGGCCTCAAACCAAAAGTTGTTCATATCATTGATATGAACAACATAAGTTTTTTCCAGATTTTTTTGATGTTTTTTTCCGGTAAAAAAAAAATATTTTGCGCAGGGCCGGATTTTCCATATCCGGAATTAATCCGGAAATTTCAATCGGATTGAAAATTCCGGATAAAATTGGTCTGCCGGATATCCGGATTTTCTACTTACACAAAAACTAGGTTACCTGATCGGACGTTCGGGATCCCCCTCACCGTATGGGATGTCTGACCGGACGTCTGGTAGGACGTTGGACAGGACAGGGTATGTCCGACCTACCGCCAAAAAAAATAAAAAAAATGAAAACAACCTTGTGGCTTTCACCTTGTACAAGGTGTATGCCACAAAATTTTTGGCTCATTTGGGCAAGTACAATATACAATAAAAATCTTCAAAGATTCTAATCCCCACCGATACCCCTCGTATCCCCACGAAAACCCCTCGTACCCCCCCCCCTACCCCAAATACCACCTTATCACCAAGTGCTCAGAAAAATCTGACTTTTTTTGTGGGGCGTCTCTAGGGCATGCGCAACACTATCATTTTTATTTTATTTTCTTTAATATTATTTAGTGTCGAAAAAACGTCGTCCGAAAATCTGGACGACGGGGGTACCGAACCCATGGGGGAGACGTCCGGGAGAGACGTCCGGTCTCCAGACCATTGGTAGCCTAGATAAAAAACAAAGAAAAAAAAGGTCTGGAACCTTCCCGAATTTCCATTGGTCTGCTGCTGCTTGGGCCTTTGAGTCATGACTTTTAGATTTTGGCATATGATTTCGACTGTGGACTGTGATTCCTGCCACTAGGACACGAATCTGGGTTGTGGAACTGCCCTTTACTCATAGGATGTGGCTCTTCAATATGACTTTTCATTAGGAAATGTGATTTTTGCCCCTAAGACGTGACTGTTTGCTGGGTGTCTATTGGACTGGATTGCTAAGGTACCCGACTATGACCTTTCTAAAATTGACGAACTCGGCCCTTTCTTGGCTAGGGCCTCTGACCCTCAGACCCGAATTTGGCGTCTAAATCGTAGAAGGCCCTTCAGCATGTGGTGAGTAGAGGCCCTTCGGGCCACTATACGTATTCCTGAAAAAAGAAAAACGAGAAAAAACAAAAGAAAACCGAGAAAACAAAAGAAAAACGAGAAAACAAAAGAAAAACGAGAAACAAAAGAAAAAGGAGAAAACAGTTAGGTTACCAATGGTCCGGAAACCAGACGTCTCCCCCGTACGTCCTGTACCCTTGTCGTCCGGATTTCCGAACAACGGCTTTTTGACACTAAAAAAAAAAAAAAAAAGACAGTGTTGCGCATGCCCTAGAGACCTCCCACAAAAATTTTCAGATTTTCCTGAGCATTTGGTGATAGGGTGGTATTTGGGGTTGGGGGAGGGGGGAACGAGGGGTTTTGGTGGGGATAGGAGGGGTATAGGTGGGGATTAGAATCTTTGAAGATTTTTTTAATTTAATATTATACTGGCCCCTGCGTGACACCCACGGCCTAGGCCGTGGGCAATTCGGTCGCCGCAACCGAAAAAGTCAGTCGCGGTGGCAGCCAATGAGTTCCTGTCCATGGCCAGATTTTAAATGCATATATAGGGTTGTAGGGCTTGCAAAATCCGACAATCCTAAATTTGTTTTTTTGATATCCGACCTCGTTTAAGATTTAAAAAAAATAAAAAACAAAAATCGATTTAAACAAATTATTAAAAAATAAAATAAAATAAAGCACATTTTTTTTTTGTCATTTTTTTTCATGAGGGACATGGTCGCTGACTGTGTTGTCACTTGGATGCACCCTCATACGCTTACGGATTCGTACTCTTGTACTCGTACGCTAGGGGCCTCGTACGAGGTCTTTTTTTTTTTTTTTTTTTTTT